GTGTGTGTGAGTGTGTGTGTGTGTGTGTGTGTGAGAGAGTGTGTGTGTGTGTGTGTGTGTGTGTGTGTGAGTGAGAGAAGGGGGAAGTTCTCATAATGAACAAGCCAAGAGTCTGATCTTCTAAAATAATCAGATCTGCTGAGTGATGCTGTCTCTGGGAGAGTGTTATGATGAGTGTAACTCACTGGTACACTGATCCTAAGACATGCTTTTAGTTATTAAGGGCTCTAAGAGACAGGATGTGCAATTGTACAGAAATTGTGCGGGTTGTATTATTTTTTATGATTTTACTATACATAAGCTTAAGTGTGAGGTACAGTTTGTGTATGAAACGCATGAAAAATTATCTGCAGCTATGCATAGGGATATTATGACTGAAGTTAAAAGGATAGTTCACCCAAAAATGAAAATTGTCATCATTTATTTACCCTCATGAGGCTCATGTCATTCCAAAGACGTCTTTTTATCTTATCAGAACACAAATCTATCCATCTATTCATCCATATTTTTAATATTTTCTCATTTTTGCCCATCCATCAAAAGTCAAAGCAACCAAAATTTTCAAGATTCAAAAACTAAAAGTCTTTGTAAACATAACCCATATGAATCCAAGTCTTCTGATGAAAAAATGTAATTCTATACAATGAACAGATTTAATTTAGCTTTTATTCACATATAAACAGTGATCAATGCACATACATAGAACACACTAAATATGGCAAACATAAGCTGAAATGTGCATGCTTGATACACAAGCAGTGAGGTTTGTTCTTGAGTTTAAAACTCGCATATTGAGCTTATACGACATGAGGATGAGTAAATGATGACATTTTTGGGTGAACTATAAGTTGACACCTTGGCGGTGCAATGTTTGGGTGGTTGCCAAGGTGTTGCTATGCGGTTGCTAGGGTGTTCTGGGTGATATGGATACCACAGTATGTTATATAAATAACTTACTTATTGATCATAAATAAAAGTACATTTTATAAATACCCATGTGTGTATTTTGAATACAATCAGAGACATACTATACCCACTATATTGGAAATGTTCAAAAGCAGCATCTCCAGCATTACTGTTTAACAGCATTTACAAACAAGTTGACTCCTCTTTTGTGGGATAAACAAAAGGTTCCAAAGAGTGAATTTTCATAGTTATGCCATTGAAGAACCATTTTTGGTTCCCAAAGAACCTTTTAGTGAACTTTAAAGAGTCACTAAAAAGAACCTTTTGTGAAATGGAAATGCTCCATGAATCCTAAAGGTTCTTCATGGAATCATATCTGCCAATAAAGAGGCATTATTTTTAAGAGTTGTATGGGATAGTAAGAACCCAGGCTCACTGGAAATACTTGCTTGAAGTGGCATTTCTGCAACACCAATATTACATACCTTACTGTATGTTTCATGCACGTTTCAAAGTTAAATGTCCAGTGAGTGGTGCTAAAACCCGTGCTCAATACGTGACTGTGACACGTTTTTATTACATTGCTTCAAGGTACGTATTGTGGCAGTTGAGAATTCAAATGTCCGGAGAGTGTCTCCAAGTATAATTTGGTCTTGGTTGCATTATAGTTTTGACTTGAAATGTGATTGCATTCGAAATGTGATCAATGTTTGCGTAAATCGATGCGTTGGGGAATTTGGCTATTAACATGTAACATTTTAATTATATTCTGCTAAAATGAATGAAATTACTTGGAAAAAGGATTCGTTCATTTTGCTGAACGAGATTCAAAGATCTGATCCGAACTTCCCATCACTACTGAAAACTGCAGCGATTCGTACGCATATGTACTTTTTTGAGTTTTGCAGAAAGGTAGATAGAGGCACGTATTTCCAATGAGCCTGAGTAGGAATGTAAAGTATTCATAAGCGGTCATGCTATTTGCACATATTACTCATTTAATGCATACTGCTCTTCACATAGTAGAAGGTAAGCATACTCGGGCGTGGGCATAGTCTTTGTGACTGCATCATGCGACATTTATGTGGCATTTGTCATAATAAAATCCACACAATTTGTGGTAATGCGAGGAATCATTCATTATCAGTAACACAAATGGCACAGGGCGACTTGTGTGTTATAGTATGAGCAATAGTAGATGTTTGCCTCACCACACACCACAATTAAACTACTATAAAAGAGCCAGAGAGCACTCATCTAACAAACAACTTGTGTTTGATGTCATACAGTATATATATTGATGTCATTGCATACAAAAATCAGGGCATATCTGAGATGGAATCTATAAACCACCTAAATGTTTGGTTTATAAAGATCTCAACAAAGGTTTGCCAGCTCAGTTAAACATTCTAACATATTCCAGTATTGCTACTGTCTTGGCATTTTGCAAGCTTACCTTAATGCCCTCACAGGCTTTGCCATTCTTGTACTCTTTGTTGCTGGCTCTCTTGTCCAGCTTACCCCAAAGGGCTTTGGCTTTCCAGCATGTCACCATGCTCTTCAGGCCGCTGTAGAAGGTGCTGTGCTCCAGAGGGTCAAGCTCCAGGTAACTGCACATAATATTGAAGGCCTGCAGGGTGCTTTTGCAGTCAGTGGCCTGAGCAAAGTTCTCAAATAGCCGTCCTGCCTGGTTCTTCTCATCTTCGGCTTCACCCATCGTCTATTTTGTGAGAATGTGGACACTATGCTTGTGATATCTTGCTCCTTGCTCCACTGAACAGCTACGCCCACACTTCAGTCTACTCACCCATGGCGAAATCTGAAAAACTAATTAAATGTCTATTAGTTTTAATAAAAAAATAAAAAAATAAAAAGTACAGTATGAGGCTTGTCCATTCAAAACTTGTCACGTCACCACTGCTAAAGAAGCTAGGTCAATGACTTGACGCTCATATTTTTTCTTTTGTTATTATTTCTTGGAAAATAATACAATAAAAATAAATGTAAAAATTGTTCTGCCAAATTAAAGTCATGTGGTGCAACCAATATGAAAGGAAAAACATAAAACAGTACTGTGTGTCAGAGTCAACAAGTCTAAAAATAACAGATAATTTTTACCTTTTTATGAAAAGGCAAGGTTAGTTCACAGTGTAAAATGTCATATGGTACACCAAAAAAGAATGAGATTTATAAAATAATAATTCATATATAATTCATTATACAGGTAAAATATAATGACTTTTCAAAAACTTTTTGAGTTTATTTATTTTTACAAAACTTTCTAGGCCTGGAAATTGTTGTTCAATGACTTTTCCAGATTTTTTATGACTGTACGAACCCTAATGTGATGATCGGGTGCGGTTATCTAAATCAGACAAAAATACAGGTGCGGGCGGTTGGCGGGTGGATAATTTATTTGAAGCTGCGGATTCGGGTGACGTTTTAGCTCATCCGCGCATCACTAATGTACACCCATTCAAGGTGTAAAGAAAATAAATTACTTTTTGCTTAATGTTTACACCACACTTTTATAATTTTTGTCATTAAATTTAGACTTTTCTTGAAAACTGTACAAAAGTTTAAAAAGAAAAAAACATGAATGCATATTACCTATTCAGACGGTAATTATTTCTCATGGGACGTAAGCTTTTTGCAGTATTTACAGGGGTTAGTCTGTGATTTTATTGCTGTCTGAATCCAGAACGTTGGCGTTTTTTCTCCCACCACCCACGTAAAAATCCCCAGCCGAATTACCTATTGTTTTTTGACAAACATGAAGGTCGTGTGGTAATTTAAATGCCGTCCAAATTCACATCTCTGAGTTTACAAGAAGAGATCGATTCAAAATTCAACATTTAAAATGCTGCTGAACACCGTACTGTAACTGTTGCACTTCACTGTAATTTGCATGCCTACACTGTAAAAAAAAATCCGTAAAATTTTTATATATATATA